GGAGCACCAGAAGTTTAGTTGAAGTCCCCCACCTCGTCTTCGATCTCCAAGCTCCCCCATCTATGTAACAGTAACTTAAAGACGTTCTTAAATATCTATTTTTTGACTGTTGAGAAGTATAAGCATATTGCATAAGCAATTTAGTTGAGAATGAGTTTTTCAATGTTGAGAACTTAAGATGAACTTATAATTTGAGTTGAGAAGTATAAGTATACATAGAGCTAGCTATTGTAATTTGAGTTGAGAATGAGTTTTTCAATGTTGATATGAACTTATAATTTGAGTTGAGAAGTATAAGTATATATAGAGCTACTGTAATTTGTAAACCAAGCAATTTAGTTAACAGTAACTTAAATACTTACTTAAGTTTATTAAATATCTATTTTTTGACTTTGTCAATTTAAGTTAGTTAATAGTAACTTAAACTTCAGTTATTGTTAACTTAAATCTAGATAATTCCTGTTTGACCGTCTTTTTGCTGATATTTTGGGACCTGAACTTCTAGATATGGGATATTATATGCCTTGCTATCTAGTATGTATGCATCTTTGATTGACTATTACAGTTTTGGATAGCATGAGTTGGTATTTTAGTATTTATGCATCTTTGATTGAGTATATATATATATATATATATATATATATATACTCAATCAAAGATGCATAAATACTAAAATACCAACTCATGCTATCCAAAACTGTAATAGTCAATCAAAGATGCATACATACTAGATAGCAAGGCATATAATATCCCATATCTAGAAGTTTAGGTCCCAAAATATCAGCAAAAAGACGGTCAAACAGGAATTATCTAGATTTAAGTTAACAATAACTGAAGTTTAAGTTACTATTAACTAACTTAAATTGACAAAGTCAAAAAATAGATATTTAATAAACTTAAGTAAGTATTTAAGTTACTGTTAACTAAATTGCTTGGTTTACAAATTACAGTAGCTCTATATATACTTATACTTCTCAACTCAAATTATAAGTTCATATCAACATTGAAAAACTCATTCTCAACTCAAATTACAATAGCTAGCTCTATGTATACTTATACTTCTCAACTCAAATTATAAGTTCATCTTAAGTTCTCAACATTGAAAAACTCATTCTCAACTAAATTGCTTATGCAATATGCTTATACTTCTCAACAGTCAAAAAATAGATATTTAAGAACGTCTTTAAGTTACTGTTACATAGATGGGGGAGCTTGGAGATCGAAGACGAGGTGGGGGACTTCAACTAAACTTCTGGTGCTCCGCATGACACATAAGGGAATCTGTTGGGCGCAGAGACACGCCCTCACGCCGCGAAAGCGATATCACCAGAGAGATAGCCCTGACTTTTATTGTCACAAAAGCACAAGTCAACCTCTATATTCTTGTTTCTCAAAGGAAACAAGAATAGATAGTAAAATTCTTGTTTCTCAAAGGAAACTAGAATAGAAGTGAAATATTTCAACAAGGTGAAATATACTCTCTTCCTCTCATCGGTTCTAGGACTAAAATGTCGAGGGAACCTACAAGCAATGACAAACTCACAGTAAAAGACGAGACAACAGATTTACGTGGTTCGGCAAACTTGACTACGTCTACGGGAGGGGTTTTTTACTATGAGGAGAATATCAAACTATTACAAGTTCTCTCTCAACCCACTATCTTTTCTTTCAAACCTCACTTAACCCACACTTTTCACTCTTCACTACCTCTCCTATTTATAGGAGAAGAGGAATGAGTGCCTAACTGGAACCAGCTCACCAAAGAGAGGGCTAAAGAGCTATAAGGGGGCTGTGAGCATGGGCCAGACAGAGAGAGTCACATGCTAGTTCCCACACCCAACATGGGAGCATGGGAAAGGTACAGTGGGCATTCCACTGTCATGTGTCCCCCCCACGTTCACAATTCTTCACCTCGTTCATCATTTGATAAACCTCAAATTTTAGACGATCACCAGAAGAACCCCACGAGCATCACCAGGCCAAACCAGCTGCGTCACTGAACCGCGACTGCCTACGTACCCTCCACAGGGATCAAGCTAACCGTAGTTCTACAATTACCCTCTTGGGCAGATCAACACGGACTGATATGAAGCAAGTCCAAGCAATGTTAGAACTTGCTGCCTGTCACCACCTTGGTTAACATGTCTGCAGGATTCTCATTCGTGTGCACCTTCATGAGAGAAATATCACCTTCTTCTATGACATTCCGCACAAAATGATATCTGACGTCGATATGCTTGGTACGAGCATGGTGAACTTGATTCTTCGCTAAGTGAATCGTATTTTGACTGTTGCACCACAAGTTCACGCTCTCCTGCTCAATCCCCAAATCGTCTAGAAGACCTCATAGCCACAATGCTTCCTTCACTCCCTCCGTTATGATCATGTACTCGGCCTCTGTAGTAGAAAGTGTCACTGTAGCCTGCAACATCGATCGCCAACTAACTGGAGCCCAATGTATCCTGAATACATAACCAGTAGTAGATCGCCGTCTATCTAGATTGCTCGCATAATCTGAGTCTACAAACCCGTCAATCTGACATGTATCTCCACCAAAACACAGACCCGTATCCGCGGTACCTTTCAAGTACCTCAAGACCCATTTCACCGCTTCCCAGTGCGTATTTTTCGGATTCGTCATGAATCTGCTGACCACAGTAACCGCCTGTGAAATATCTGGGCGTGTACACACCATGGCGTACATCAAACTGTCAACTGCACTAGCATAAAGAACACGCTCCATGTGCGCATTATCTTCCGCTGTAGTGGGAGATTGTTTATCTGAGAGCCTGAAGTGTGGAGCCAATGGAGTCACCATCGACTTAGCACTTTGCATTCTGAACCTCGCGATCACCCGCTCAATGTAGCCCTTCCGACTCAAGAATAATCGTCGATTCGTCCGCTCTCTTCTAATCTTCATACCCAATATTTTCTTTGCAGCGTTCATATCCTCATCTCGAACTCTTTGCTAAGTTGAGATTTCAGTTTATCTATCTTCACGTTGTTCTTCGATGCAATAAGCATGTCATCCACATATAAAAGGAGATAGATATAATCACCTTCACGAAGCTTCTGAATGTAAACACAACATAGTCGCTTCGGAAAAACCCATGCTTTGGCATGAATGAGTCAAATCGCTTGTACCACTGTCGAGGAGATTGCTTTAATCCATAAAGTGACTTCCTCAAGCGACATACATGATGTTCCTTATCCTCAACCTTGTAGCCTTCAGGTTGATGCATGTAGATCTCTTCATCCAAGTCTCCGTGCAAGAAGGCCGTCTTGACATCGAGTTGTTCCAGCTCAAGATCACCATGAACAACAATACTCAATAGCCCTCGAATAGAAGTGTGTTTCACCACCGGAGAAAATATCTCATTGTAATCCACACCCTCTCTTTGTGCAAACCCCTTAGCCACTAGCATCGCCTTGTATCTCGTACCACCGAGTTCTAAAGGATCTTCTTTTCTTTTATACAGCCACTTACAACCTATAGTTTTCTTTCCTACGGGCAATAAGACCACCTCCTATGTTTGGTTCTTTCGGAGAGATTCCATCACCTCCATCGCAGCCAATCAATTCTCGCTATCTTTATCCCGAATAGCTTCCTTGAAGGAGACCGACTCATCTTCCTCCACCGAAAGGGCGTACTCAACCAAATTAACCTGCCCATAATGCTTCAATGGTTGATCAGCCCCCAGTTTCTATACCTGCTTGTATGCTCGCCTTGGTCTAGTGGAAGTCAAGCTATCCTCGAGTTGCTGTTGTTGTAGTGCCTGTGTATTCTCCTGCTGACCCTCCTCCTGCTCAAGCTCATCATCTACCTGATTTCCCACTTGAACATGACTAGAACCTGGTTGGTCTTTAGGTTCTATCTCAATAACCTGAGACTTAGAATTCCCAACAGTCTCAACACCATCATTCTTGGGCACCCTAGCAATCATGGACTTCTCATCAAAGGTAACGTCTCTGCTGATCACGAACTTTGAATCTTCTGTACACCAAAGACGATAGTCTTTTACACCCTTTGCATATCCCAAGAAAGTTGCATTCTTGGCCCTCACATCAAGCTTTCCCTCGTTGACGTGATAGTAGGCGGTACACCCGAAAATTCGGAGTCTATCGTAATCTGCATGCTTCCTTGACCACACCCGATAGGGTGTATCACCGTCCAATGTCGAATGTGGGGATCGATTCACAATATAGCAAGCTGTAGCAATTGACTCTGCCCACCATTCTTTGCCCAAACCAGCATATGATCGCATACTCACTGTTTTCTCCCGCAGTGTTCGGTTCAGTCTCTCCGCGATCCTATTTTGCTGTGGTGTAGATCTAATTATCCAGTGTCTGGCAATCCCCTCTTGATCACAGAACTCCTTGAAGGCACCATCTGTATACTCTGTACCGTTGTCAGATCTTAATTTCTTCAATTTCTTTCCTACCATGTTCTCAACTACCGCCTTCCACTTCTTGAATGTCTCAAATACCTCATTCTTATGCTTCAGAAAATAAATCCAAGCATACATCGAATGATCATCTATGAACGAGACAAAATACCTGGAACCACCCTTAGAAGTTGTTGAAGCCGGACCCCAAACATCCGTGTGCACGTAATCTAGTATCCCTCTGCTCTTGTGACTGCTTGTCAGGAATCGGACCCTGTGTGCCTTTCCATACACACAATCCTCGTAAAAATCCATGCAAGGCTTCTTCAGATTCTTCAGCAAACCCTCCTTACCAAGCAGATCCAGACCTTTCTCTGACATGTGCCCAAGCCGCCTATGCCATAACCGTGTGTGCTCACATGGGTCTCCACCACTTCCATCAGTTCTAACCGTTGCATCTCCTGTCACCGTCATACCCAAGAGAGTATATAGGTTGCCGTGACGAATGCCCTTCATCGCTACTAAGGAATCCCGAACAACCCTCTTCACTCCGTTCTTTGTTATAATCTTGCAACCCTCGGAGTCCAAAGCATCAACTGAGATAAGATTCTTCCGCAAGTCGGGAACGTGCCTTACATCCGTCAAGGTTCGAATCACTCCATCATGCATTTTGATCTTGATATCACCTAGCCCCACCGTTTTACAAGCATGGTTGTTCCCCATCAATACGGTTCCACCATCAATGCTCCTGTAGGTAGTAAACCACTTTCTATTTAGACACATATGATAAGAGCAACCAGAATCAAGAATCCACTTCCCAGAGGTATCCTCGCCACCCGTGACGACATAGCATTTCTTATCGCTTCCTTCCCCTGAAACGTAGCTCGCTTCTTCCTTGCATTCTCGTCTTTCAGTCTTGTTGTTGTTCTTCTTCCCACCTACTCTCTTGTTAGGATAATTGACTTTGAAATGCCCTAGCTCACCGCATTTGAAACACGGTCTTTATGCAAGAGGTTTTGATTTTGATCTAGACTTTCCTCTCTTACCTTTTCCTTTCTCATTGCCCCTTCCTCTGGCAAAGAACTCTTTCGACGAGGCTTCTAGAGGCTTCGACGAGGCCACGAGAGGCTTCGACGAGACTTCAACAGCTCCGAGAGGCTTCGTCGAGGTCAGGGGAGCTTCGACGGGGCTTCGACAGAGTTGACGGGGTCATGGGGCTTTGACGGGGCTTCAACAGCTTCGAGAGGCGTTGACGAGGCCATGAGAGGCTTCGACAGCTCCGAGAGGTTTTGACGAGGTCAGGGGAGCTTTGACAGAGTTGACGGGGTCACAGGGCTTTGATGGGGCTTCAACAACTTCGAGAGGCGTCGACGAGGCCATGAGAGGCTTCGACAGCTCCGAGAGGCTTCGACGAGGTCAGTGGAACTTCGACGGGGAACTTCGACGGGGAACAAGGTTTCGGAAGTACAGAGCTGAGAAAAATTCGTGGCGGCGTCAGGAGTGAGAAATGAGAATTAGGGTTATTGTTTAGTTGGGTTTGGGTTTGGACTTGGGCTTGGGTTTTGTTTATTTCAGCGCCCATTTGGAATTTTTTTAGAAATTGTTGGGCGGACCGTTTAAGCGGCCCGCTTAGCTTTGGGCGGGCGTTTAGGCGCTCCCAGTGCCTAAACAACAGCGCTCAGGGTGTTTCGAGACGCCCTGGGCTAGGCGCCCATGGCGTTTTTTAAAACACTGGCTACAATAGAATACAAGACAGAATACACATAGTTTTGTTGCACATAATAAATGTTTTACTGCCTTCTCTTTTATGAACCAGATGGACGCTCCTGAAAATATCATCAAATTCTTCCTGACAAAAGTCGAGCCAGGTTACACTGATACACAAGGATAGTTGATGCCTGCTCAATCTTCATAATATGTCTATGAAGCTGATGGTACAAATCTAAACCTTGAATATAGCCACATTAAAAGAGGTTGGCAAATTGTTCAAATGTTAACAACACAACTTTGATCATTCTTTTAAGTACAACCGTTTCACAACAAAGGACAAACTCAATAGACAAAGCAAACTTCAGACATGCCACCTTTATCTTCCTCCCAGTCAACCTCCATCTCCAAGCTCCCATCATCAGACCAATCAAACCCTACATCATCTCCATCCACCATTCCCCTTAACGGCCTCCCACTAGAGTACGCCAAGAAACTCCTCTTCCCCTTAACCCTAACTCTTGCACTATCCCCATCATGCTCGACCTCAACAATAGTCCCTCCACTATTAAACATGTTCACTAAACCAACCGGTGCAAACTTTAAGTTTCGGTGACTTATATTTTTTATCGGTATGAAACTAAAGATTTCAAAGGATGATGGCTGAATTGTGATTTGGGTAGGGCTGGATTTTGGGGTGGTTAGGAAAAGTTTATTTGCTTGGTTGAGATGTACTGCATATTCTTCAGCTTCGCCCATATGAGATGTTTCTTTCTTTTGATCCCATTCTATGTTGTTTGGATGAACAGAGTCTGAGACTGGCTTGTAGAATTGAGGGTAGCCTCTGAATTTGCGTACTTTAGGATCCCATCCTGCTCCTTGGCAGTTGAAAACTCCGACAACGCCGCCAAACTGTTGAAAACAATGAGAATCACATTTTGTTTTAAAACCAAACTTTATTTTTTTTTGTGCCAGGGGAAAGTGAAATAAAAAGGGTGGTTGCCCGGGGGGGGGGGGGGGGGCACAAACTAGCTTTTAAGTTAGCTTTTTCAAATCTACATGTTTGGTATAATATCAAATAAGTTAAGCTTATAAGTTCCATTTAAAAAAACTAGTACACCCCAACATTTCAAAAACTAGCTTATAAGCTCACCGAAATAAGCTAGGTTTGACCAAATAAATTACTGTCATACCCAAATAATGTTTGTAGGATTTTTATCACAAAAACCAATAAAAGTCAACATAACTTATAAGCTTCAAGAAATAAGCCCTCCCAAATACCCTCAAAGTTAGGGCTATGGGGGCATTAGATTGTCAAATTGTCAAATTTATAGAACTTAAAAGTGTATCAAGTTGTCAAAGCAGAACTTCAGGAAATAATCAAAGCTAAACTCTAGGGTATTAAAAACACAAACAACCCTTCTTATAATCAAATATCCGGAGAAATGAGATATTCTCACTTACCTTATTTAAGTTCCAAATCTTCAAAACACTCTCCCCATCAAACAAAGGGCTCTTA